CTTCACATTTACACAGACAAACTCATTCTGCACCTAGGGCAAGGGTGACTGGCTGTAGCAGATGGAAAATTTAAACTCCAGTCTTGATTACCTTTCTGCAGTTTCAGACCCAGTAAGGGTCATGGCCATGGCAGTCACAGCAGCAGGGTAAAAGCTCCCTGGACAAAGCTTCCTTTGTATTAGTGGACACTTTTTGCCTCTTCACATCCTTGTAACAACAGCAGTCAGTGAACCCAGAGACACAGGTTGCTCAAAGGATTTGTTGAGCTCAGCAGAGAATGTTTTTGTGTTCCCCATCTCACCACTCTTTTGGATACCGTGAGTCCAACAAGGGGTGAAAGACGCATTTTCCATTCGGAGGGTGAATGCAGGTCAAGCGGACTGAAGCTGAGCCTGAGTGGGTGTTGAAGAGGCAAAGGAGCAGCAGATCAAAAGCCTCAGCATCCTTGCACGGGTTTTATGCCAGCACTGCCTGCTCCCGGCAGGGTCCCCATATAAACGAGGGTACCCTTGTCAATCAGACCATGTGTCTGATTGTCCCTTGTGGGAGGGGAGCAGGAGCCAGCAGGAAGCTTCAGCCAAAATCAAGTTAGCTGAACATGTAACTACAATAATTACCGAGACCCATTTCTGCTCCCATTAACAGGGTCTGGCTGCTGCAACATCCCCTCTGCCTCCTTGCCTAAAGATAGGCATGAATAGAAATGAAGTGACCTGGGAGCAACAGGGAACTGTCAGCTTCCAGGTCACATACAGGGAGCACTTGCTAACAAGGGGGACATCTGCTGTAAGCAAACTCCTGCATTATGCTGGAGCCTGAGGATGCTCATGGCCTCTCCTCAGCTCAGACACGATAAAATATGACGTGGCTGTGAAGCCAAGACCACCTGGGCTCAACATCTCATCAGATGGGCAGGAGGAGTAAAGTCAGTCACTTTTCATCTAGGTCCACGGCTGCTGGGTGCAGGGTCTGGCGCAGCCTGCTTTTAGCTGGGGGCAGAATCTCACTGGTCTTTCAGTGCGTTAGTTATTTCAGTGACTTGCTTTGACTTCCTGAGCCAGGGCTGTGTCCCATGAAGGCTAGGACTAGGGACAGGGCCACATAGAAAAGAATTTGCAGTTTTCCTCTGGAGAAAAATGCCATTCAATTAGCTTTCAGATAGTAGGCATCACAGCAAAGGACAGTAGTTTTATAAGCCAGCACTGTTTGTTATGAGTCTGAATCAGGCTTCCATATATTATAACATGACAACATATTTTTACTTCCAGAGCCAACCAACCAAATAATATATTTCGAAGCGAACACAGTAGATAAGAGGTAATTTAATCTCAAGCTTCATTAGTTCAGCTATTGTATGAAACAGATAACAGATGCAGGAGAATAGACAGAAATCATAGTCTCTCCATGACTATCATCTGTGTAAATAGGCATGTGGGGAGCTTGAAAATTCACTACACTCCAGTTCACAGAGAGTCCTCATGGGTTTGTAATAAAGCATTCCCTCTCTGCTAGTTCATTAATCAGATTCCCTCATGCTGGAGCTTTCCTTTTGGTGGTTTCCCATTAATGCCACGTTTGCCATTGCTCCAGCATGCCAACGTTCCCAGTGGGAATTTCCCCTAACACCAGCACTACAGTAAACAGCAGTGCCCTTTGCCCAGGCAGTCCGGCAAGCAGGACCACAGATGTGGCATTATGAGAGGGCAGCACTAGGCGGCTGTTCACATCCCAAGGATTACTGCTGCAGTAAAGCCACACTCTGCCTTGAAAAGCTCACATGTACAGTGACCTTAACCCGCCTAGGACTCCCCTTCTAATTTGCAAAGAACTGGCTTGACCCCACATGCAGCCTGTTCTTGCTTCCAGCTTCCCCCAGCCTCTACACAGAGTTCTTTTTTTGCTAGCAGGTAGTATTTACTCAAATCCAAGACAACCCTTAAGGTCTTAAAATCCAAGGTTCCCCCCTTCTTTCATTTATTGAGACTTCATGCTAAACAAGAGGGAACTCAGGGTTTCTGTTCTGCCTTTATGGCACAGTAAGAGCTGACTCTTACACCGTGTCCTTTGGCTCAGTGCCTTGGGCACTGAGCCGATTAATTAGGAAGCTGGGCTCAACCCCTTTCCTTTCAATTCTGAAGGAAATTCAGTCTGCAGCTCTCATGGACCAGGCTTGGGGCAGGCCTCTTTGACTCATTAGCCTTCATGAGCCCCAAAAGTACTGTTCTCCACAGTCAATATAAGGAGAAGGGATACGTCATGTCTCAGCCCCCAGCCAAAGCCACTGAGTCACTGAGTCCAGTGGAGAACAGACGGCTGCTGAGGACCGTCTTCTCACCTGCTTGTAACATGACAGAGATAGAGATAACTCCAGAGGTCTGGCAAAAGACTGCCTCCCCAAAACACCCAATCCCTCCAAGTAACTATTTTCCTCTGTTCCACATCTTTAACTTTGATTTAGTAAAAGCTACACCTAATGACTCAATGGTAACAGTGAACTAGCAGAAGCCCTTAAGAACCTTAATAAATTTTCTTTTTGATTTGATTGTGTCTTTCAAGTAGGCATCCGATAGCAGCCCAGATACTTAACAACTTCCTGGTTTTCACACGGTCACCACAGATTCCTCCAAAAACCTAGGCACCTCAGCTTACAGAAGACGGTTGGCCACTCTGAGGGTACTGCAGTTATTGCTCATCCTCCTGGCTCTTACTGCTGCCACCACCATGTCTGTAGGAGAGACTTGTACTCCTTGGCTAACATATCCCAGGTTTTGTTCCTGTGGGTGTGCTGGAGATACCTGCATTTGTTCATTAAGAGAAAGGAGGAGGTTGGTATCAATCAGTCACAGAAATAAGCAATATTCTTATGTGAGCTCCCCATATCCTACCACCTGCAGGCGTAAGGGCTGCGGAGACTTCAGTGCTGGGCAGCAGCAATAAACCAGGTTTCTTACTAATCACCATTCTGTAGCAGAATGAGTCCCCATAAACACAGTCGGATTAGTCAGTCCAGTGAAGAGAGAGGTGTCTGGCACTAAGTCCTGTTTTCCAGGGGAACACGATAACCCACTGAAAACAAGGACATCTAGGACATTCACTTCAACAGGGCTGAAATTTCTCCCTCTTAAGTCTCCAATGTACTGTGTTTCTGTATCCACAAAACCAATCTATCAGTGCTGCTGCATTAAGTGCCTCTGTCTGGAATGCCACTCCTCAAATCCCTACTTCTCTCTCGCCTCATCCCATCATCACACAAGTGTGCTTCTGCTGGCAGAGAAGCCTGCACACCTAGAAATCTCCTCCTGAAAAGGTCTAGTTCTGATTGTGCCTTGATACCACAAAGTAGCTGTTTTCACATTTAGGTACTAATGAGACTCACACCTATACACACCTCACTGCCTATCCTGCTAGGATTGCAGAGCATGAGATCAGACCCTATGTGAAATCCAGCTGAAGAAATAAGTTATTCCACATTGATGGTGAGGACGCTTATCTGGCCTTTGGCTTACCCAGAGCTGGTTCACAGCAGGGCTGCTGTCACTAGGTGCCACAAACCACACTCACCCTTGTAGCCAGCAGCCTTAGAAAGGCTTAGGGAGGGAAGACACCCAACATGCCCCTGTCAGTGAGTTGCAAGATGGTACCTGATAGTTTGAGGCACACGCGATGCAGAGTTTGCTGTCACTGTGTGTGACATTCAGGGTCTTCCTGAGCAGTGTCCTGGATCTCAAAGTGCCCTAAACCAACTTGTAGAATGGACAGATGGAGGTTGCATATATAACAATTAGCAGACAATCAGTCAGTGGTTACTTATGAAATGTAGTAGATAACTTCTCCCTGTAGCTATCACTGGATGCCTACATCTACGTTACGTACACTTAATTCTACTTAAGCATGGGCAATATCAAGCACTTCTCATGTGTTTCTATAATACTGGTAAAGCCACTGATTGACAGACGCAGTCATGGGGGAAGACGGACAACTGATTGCTCAAATCCACCCACACTCTATTTCTACTAAAATCATGGAGGGAATCACTAGAGCCACAAGCACAATGTTTTCCCTGCATGCTGATTTCATTTCAAGCTGATGCTAGGCAGCCAAAAGGCAGTTTCTTTGGTGGGTGCTGCATGCCTGGCCAGGCCAAAGCAGTGCAGCAAGCCATGCCACATAGTGCAGCAGCCAGCAGAAACTGCTCATCAGGCTGTGTGTTGTGCAGCAGATTATACAGTGAATGCCTAAAGAGCCTTTGCAAAGTGGAGAGAGCTTCAACTCATTTCTCAATTCAATTCATTCCTCTTCCTTAGAGCACCTGTGCAGGATGCTGCCCCTGTAGGCTGGAGATCCACACTTACTTTGTGAAGCAAGATGGAGCATCTGCCTGCAACTTCCATAGGGTGTTATGAGGCTGAACCCATGGATGGATGCGTGGGTGGAGTTTGGTAACTGAGTGCAAACTGATGGTGCTCTCTACCCAAGCATGGATGCCTAACTGCAATGCCTGTGCTCCTGGGCTGCATGTCAAGGAACAGGGTTAGTCCGATTAAGTTTTCTGGGCATCAGCATCAGCAGTACTTGCAAAACTTGAGTATTGAAAAGATTCTGGGGGGTAGTGGGGGAGTGGGCATGATCATATTGTATGCAACTGTTCAGGAAGACAAATGCATCTCACAATAGACACAATAGACATGCACACATCTGCTGCCAAGGAGTTAAGGCACATCTGCTTGGACTAGAAGTGGTAAGATGTGATCTATTTCATAGGAAATAACTAAGCCTATTAATGCGTATTTTTACTTAGCACCATGCTTTATTCTGCTACTTTTTCCCTCACCCTTTTTAATGATCTCTTTTATGTTGGAGTATCAAGCATCAGAATACTTCAATGATAAGGATTCCCCTGGAATAGAAAAGATACTTTCTAGGGTTTTTTTTCCTTGGAATTCTGTCTTATGAATCTTCTTGCACTGGAAACATAAAATACCAGAGACATGAGACATAAGCAGTGCCATTTATTGAAGCTTGAAACAAATATGTCATCATAGTTTGCTTTTTAAACCTTGAAATGTTAGAACAAGCAGTGAATGTGCCAAATACACATTTTTTCCTGAGCAACCTGTTGAAGCTGACGTGTCTCAGGCTAATATGATAATATAATGATATTACGCCTCTGCACTTAACACTCTATTCAGTTTTAAGAATAGTGACCATCTGGGTTAGGATCATAAATCCACCTTTCCTTAAAAAGAGATACGTCATAAGAAAGGAATCTTGCTAAATGCGTGGCAGAGGTGACTGCACATATTATTAGCATAGAGGAGATACTAGGCTGATGAGTGCCATGTAAGAACCTATGTAAAATACAGCAGTAGCACTGCTCTATTAGAACAGTTCATGTTGTTGTCACAGTCTTTTCCCTAAAGTTTTAAGCTGGGAGAGCGATGCACTCAATGCATTGCATCGTGTTTAAGCACAGCGGTGACTGTGCTTCCCTGGGTAGAAAGATTATTTTGATTAATGTCCATAATATAATTTATTCACTTTTATGCTTTTCAAATGAAATTACAGCTCCCTGAAGAAAACAATGAAGCCAGAAATGGCTTTACTCCTCACTAGCCATAATGAGCACCGGAAGGGACAAGCCTCCCAGGCACTTTTCCTCCCACCTGCACTATATCCACTCAGTCAGCCCCTTTCTTATTAGCTTACATACCTGATGGCCCAATTCTGCTGACCTCTGTGGATAAAACGTTGCAGGTACCTCTGAACACAGAAGAGTCTGACTCTGAAGTGAATCTAACTTTGTCCTGCCCAAATCCTACAAGATGCTTCTGGGAACATCAGAAGCATCTGCACTGTCCACCAGTCTAGGTTGTTTGGCCATTAGAGAACTGCCTTGGATGTAACAGTACAGGCTCTGCTCTTCACAATGCAGCCTGAGGCCAAGCCCTGCCCAAATGCTTCCTGAATCAGATGGGACACCTCCACTCCTTCATATGATTCAATATTTCTGTGTCCAGTGGAATAAGAACTGCCCAGATTTCTATTGCTCAAAAGGTCAGTAGCCATACAGGACCTCAGAAGGACATAAGCACACTGTGAAACTTAAAAAGCATTATGTCTGGCATTGGCCAGCAACACCATAGACAGGTATTATTTTAAGAGTATCTGCATGTATGCTATGTACACACATGCATGTGCATGCACCATTGTAAGTCATCCCCCACATCTGTTATACTAGCACCATATTTTTAACAGTGGATTTTAAGTTTTATCAGCACCTATAACTGGGGTTATATTGCCATCACAGGAGTTAATAAATCTAACCTTACCATGCTGCATATCCTGAACTCCCAGAGACTTCAAGTGAAGAAGTGAGCCCTTAGCCAAAGGTCACAAACCTATGAAAAAGGACAATTAGACTTGTGGCCATCATTAGATTAATACATTATAGCCAGGCCCAAATATTTCTATTAACTTTCATAAAAGTCTGTCTAGAAATAGGGCTATTGCTAGTCGTAGCTCTGTAAGTGTAGTGACACTTGGATTCATGGCTGTGTGTCTCACTACACTGCATAAAATACGACATTTCCCTGTTTTACAATCTCAAATTGTCAGATAGCTAGGGAGTAAATCTGCGATTTTCAGAAGAGTGTGAAGAACCAAGGTGTCCAAATCCTACTGAATTTCAAAGGAATCTAAATGTCCAGCTCTTTAGAAAATGCCCAGCTTTGCTTCAAAGTGTCCAGTCTGGTCTCCCTAAAGTTTGTTCTGCCATTTTCTTCAATAGCAAAACAGGTACACTATTTGGCTAGTGCTCTCCTAATGCCTGAGGCCCAGAGCTACACAGATACTCCGGGTCTCAGGCTCCTGTCCCAGGTGCCCTCACCCTCACTATGATCAAAGATTTGCACTGGGGGAAAAGTTTGCTGTGAGTGAGGTGATAAAGTACTCTTGTGGATGTGGGCTTACACTCTACTAGGAGATACTGGATTAAATGATAGCTCTGTCACTGAATATTGGTGTGAATTACAATCCATCTGTTAAGGTGGTAGATGCCAACAGCTTTGCTTTCATGATGCCAAGAAATGTTGCTTAAAACATATTTGGGAACTTAACATCCCATATTTGGTGGGGTTTTCAGGTTACAGCAAGACATTTGTAGCAGAAGAAAACTGGCCAGGACAGACTATTGCTGAGGTATCCTCTAGAGGTTCAGCGAAGTACTAAATGAACATTTTTTCTTTTGAAAAACGCAATGTTTCAATTTGTCCTGCTTATCATAATCAGTTATTATAAAACTCTGCTTTTAAATTCATGAAGTGAGCAAACAATTTGGAGAAACACTGCCACTTCACCTTGATTCCTAAAAACAGAAAAGTGAGTGAGCACAGGAGGATCTGGCCCACAGTGCAGGTCTGTTTCTGCTGCCCCATTGGCCACCTTCACTCAGCACTCGAGTAAGTGGTGCTGCTGTTTCAAGTGGGTTTCGGAAAAGAGATGAAATACAGAACAAGTGAAATATTCATTTAAAGAAATAAAAAAATTCTGGCAAGCTTGTTTCTAGTCTCTATGCATGCCTAAGAAGTACTAGCTGCTGGTACATTGCAAATTGTGTTACAAATTTTGGACTATTGCAGAGAAAAATTTGAAGCAGTAAAACAGGACCGATAACCCTAAGGGATGTGTTTTCCCAGTTTTGATCACAGATTTCCATTTACATTGGATGGTTCAGAAAAAAAAAGGAGCATAAAACCTGTAAACACAAGCCCTACTCAAAACAACTAGATAAAAACCAGCTAGTGCCGAGAAGCTTGGTTGTTGTTTTCTTGGTTTTGAGGTGATTTTCTTCTAGATTTAATGTAATTTTGTCGTTTGAGGCCTCGCTGATCCCAGTATCTTGCTTTGTTACGAATTCGGGGCTGGCTACACGTGAAGCAGCACTGAGTCTGTATTGATGGCAGCAAGCACTTGCCAATGCCTTTCAGCCTCTGGCAGAAGTGAACTGACAGTTGGTCTTTGCTGCAGGGTAGCCCTATGGTGGAGAAGATGAGAAGAATTAGCTATATTTTGCTGACAAATTATCTGTATTTCTAGAATTTTAAACTGCTTTATGCCAGACAGTCATGCCTGTTAAGGCTCTTATTTACGATGGCTTTCTCTTCCTTTGTATTATGGGTCAGCTTGATCCCCCTGAAATTTTAGGACCTTTAAGTGAAGAGGTCCTATTAAACTTCACATGACCTTCTGTCTTGGAAAATACAACACTCTTTATTACCGTTCAGTGAGGCTTTACTTTTGCAGCAGACATAGCTGATCTATGTTTTTCACTTTAATATTTCTGCTTTTAAGAAGTACCAGAGAAAGTCTAGCAACAATGATTTGTGAGTCTGGTACTTTCATGTTCTTGTAATAGTGCATTTAAGACAAGCGCAATGGGCTGGCAGTATGCTGCAGAGCCATGCAGGGCAGGCAGAAGACTGTAGACAAGGCACGTGCAACTATATGTTCAGCTTGACTGTGCTTCAATTTCTGCAGCACCAGAATAAGCCAGGGACTGGTACTGTATGTATTATGGTGCTGATAGGTACGTGGTAGCTTTAATAAAATGAGATGTGTCAGATTTAGTTAGATATTACAAAATGGGGGACCTCAGCTGCAAGAAGAGATGACTAGGGGGAGAGTCAAAGTTTGCAAAAGCAGGAAGGTGGTGGATTAGCTGAATGCAAGGCTGTTGTTCAGCAAATCCCTCAACACTGGAACTAGGGAAACTCAATGGAACTATAAAGGTAGTTTAAAACAGATAAAAGAACTTCTTTTCACAGCAGGCTGTGAACCTCTGGAACTTGCTGCCAGAGGAGAGGGTGGAAGCAGACAGCATTGCAGGGTCAAAAACGGATGCAACTTATTCATAGAAAAAGTTCCATAAATTTAAACTAAAAGGCACTGAAAGGGGTGCCTTTAATAGCTCTAAAATGCTGGGAGTGCTGGAGGAATACCATGGAAATGAATCACAGGGAAGGACTAAACTCCTGTATTCTCCCTAAGTAGCATTTTCTAATGCCGTTGCTGGAGACACAATATTGGGCTGCATGGACCACTGGTCTACCCAGTAGGGCATTTCTTATGTTTTACTGGCCCCTTGAGATTTTATTCACAGAATTAACTATTACTAATCTGTGTAGGTAGTATTTATCTGAGTCTGTCTTTCTGAACATGAGAGGGACAGGAGGTAAGCAGACCAATTCAACCCCAGGGCAGAACATGTGCTAAAGATCTTTGAACAGCAGGAGGAGTGATGCACCACTTTCAAGTGTATGCCAGATCTGCCCTGCTCTCAGGAGTCAACCTCTTGTCTCGTTGCCAGATTCAACCCTTACTTTTGACTTGCGAGAGGGAAGAATCCTCCTCCAAAAGGCCTTTGAAGGCTCTTCCAGAAGGACTCTGAGCTGTTGCTGTTCTTACCTGAGGGTACCTGCTGGATACTGCAGTACACAGACTACAGATAAAGATACCCTTCTGTAAGCTTCCTCCCTCCCCTGCCACTTATTTTCTGGGCTATTACCATCTACACAACTGGGCTCCTGGGCCCTTGAAGGAGAGCGGTACAGGACACCCTGAGTCACAAGAGGACTTCTCTCCACCTCTTCATTTTGGAGACAGTCTCACCCTGTGGGACACTGAATTCATAGTGCCAAGATTGTATCTGGGTTCACTGCCAGTCAGATTTTTCTTACAGTGTCTGTCTCACTTCGCTTGCCTGCACTCCCAGTCCAGAATTTGCAGTTCCCATAGGGGTATCTGTCTTAAGAAATGGCATCTGTTTGGGCTCGCAGCATGTCTTTCCACAGCCCTCAAGGCAGCCTGTGAGTTACCTAAAACAGGTCAATTCAAGCAGACCTATTCATTTCATTGTGGCATCATAAATTAGGGATGCAGGCTCAGAGAACTGCATTCCCCATCAGGGCCAGTAGGGCTGGAGAACCTGACAACATGATTCTGCCAACGGTGAAGCTGAGCAGTAGCAGGTTAGGTTGACCTATAATTACTGAGCCTGTAGTATTCACAACAAGCTGATAAATCGGGTCTGCTTCCAGTTTTTGCAGAATCTCAGCACAAATGGAGAGCTTTTTGGAAACTGTCTGATGCAAGTGTATTATCATACCTGTACTTTTCCTGCACTCTTGCAGATTGCATTTCTGAATCTCTGTGGGCTTGGGTTTATCCACACACGTACTGTCATCTTCAGTTTCATTAGTTTCTATATTCATGCACTTCACAGTTCTTTGCTGAATGCCCCCTCCACAAGAAACAGTGCACTGAAAGAGAGTAATTTTAACATATATAAAAGTCTTTTACATGGAAATTGTGTAATATGCCAATATTTCAGCTGTAATGTGACAGAAAGCTAAAAATGCTGTATGATCCGGAACCAATGACACTAAAGTACTTTGTGTACTGCATTCTCCACCCAGACACCTCCATGGTGCATTGTGGCCAGATTTGGCAGGATACAGTGGAGGGGTAAATAGTACAAATGCAGCATCTTGCAATGTGTAACCAGGGTGAGAGGACTGTTTTCTACGGAGGAGGATGATCTGTAATGCCAGTCCTACAAAGTAAGAGAGTAGTAATCCAAATTAGTACGGCACACTGACATTTTCTGTTTCCTGTGTTTTCTCACCATCTAAATTAAACGTGAATAATCAATTGCAATGTTAGGTCTAGAAATGACCAAGCTGAAGATTTCAAAAAAGCTCAGTGAGATGTTTTTTCTTTGGTGACATTTACACTATGGTTACCCTTTCTTTATGACCACAAAACAATTGCCAGCTGCTTGTTCTGATGGCACACAGATGGCCATAAAAAAAGAACATTTTCCTGTACTATTCTGTAAATGTACTTAATTCTTCCGACATCCCAGAGCATCTGAGAATTCCAGTTAAATTTAAATTCTTTTTCTCTTCAGATAAATAGTGGCCAGCAAGATAAATACTTCAACAGACAGAGAACGCTAGCTAGTGCTGAAGACAGGACTGGTACCTAATACCTAATTTTCTGCAAATTATCCTCTCTCTAATGTATATCTCTGTGCATAAGACACAATATTACTGGTGTGAAGTACATTCAAAGGTCTTAGGTACTCCTGCAGCAACTTTAGATTAATGTTTAAAATAGTTTTTTTATAAAGTAAAATAAATGGGATTAATAAATCAGTAAAATAGCTGCTATACATTTTGGTATTCAGTTGCTTATTTTATGCATGTCCCAACATTTTCACTTCCATATTTAAGTGTTAGAGTTACACTAACTCTACATTACATTGTACTCATATCCCATCTAATGGCTTTGTGTCAAAAACAACTCACTAAATTTTCTGTGTTAAATGACTCTCCGTTATTTCCTTATTTGTGGCTCCTGGCTTTTGGTGTACTTTCAACATTCTCTTCTGCTGTGAGGACTATTTGTAATGTATGAATAGGTTTGTTAAGGAAACTGGAGGGAAAGGTTTATTAGATATACTGGTTTCTTTATGATTAAATATGTGTTGCAGATACTGGAAGGTTCCCCAAAGATACAGCCCATGTTTGTCAATTAGAGTTCCAGAAGCCAAAGTAGAGGGCTATTGGTCAAAATTCAGAATTTCTGTTTGTGTAGGCAAGTCCAATATTCCACAAAGTTGCTTTAAGGGTCACCCCCCAACCGCTCAAAAAATAGTCTGGAGCAGTAAAACATTACAATAACTGGAGAGGCTCTGGAAGCACAGACAGATCAAACAGCCTGGCTGTACTTGGAAGGATTCAGCTAGGCATGTTATCAGGGACTTTTATTAGCAATTCAAGTTTTTCCCTCCCTCTCTAAAGATGCTCGTCCTGTCATCCTCTTGAAATGTTACCTGATTCTATATCTAACCGAATATGGTTGAATTTACTACCCAGTAGCCTCTTCCAGTGGAAAACTTCAAATTTGTAATGGAAGAATGTCAATGGTAACTCCTTTTTCATTAGAAAAGGAAAAAAAAAAAACCCCACAGCCCTCCATCCAACTACATCTAATGCAGCAAAAAAAAGTAAAAGCTACAATGTCTATCACCTGAAGGAACTGTGTTAGCCTGGCTCTGAAATGTTTAGTAATATTTTCAAAAGATCTTCTTTTGTAACTCCAGCTGTGCATAAGAAACTATACTTGCCATAGGCACTGAGGTTCACAGAGAAGTGGATAATATGACTAAACATGGCCAACTCAGGATAACAAATAAAACAAAAAAGAACTGAATCCTACCGGGCCCCATGCCTGGTTAATCCACTGCGTACAAGGCTGCCTGTTACATGATGCAATGGCATTAGGTCTTTTTGTCCAGTCACAGTAGCCTTCTTCTGGGCAGTAGATACGTCGCTTTTGCTGGCCACCACCACATGTTCTCGAACACTAACAAAAGAGGTGCACAAACCCATGAGGAGAGAGGTGGAAATGGATGAGAACCCAGAAACAGACCATAAAGACAGTAGGAAATGTTCTTTGTTTAGAAATGTGGAGCCACAGGTAACAAGAAGCATGTCACTGACCCATGTGATTTAGAAAGATGTACAGGCTAGCCTGCATATCAAGTATTACAGTCCCAATATGAAGAAAAGCTCTTCATATTGGGAATTGAGACATTTATTTCATCATATGCTTGGAAAGAGACAGGGAAGAAGCCATTATCGGTCCAAAATACTTGGGGGAAAGCTGTTCCTGACACGTATTAATGCAAGGAATATAGGACAGCATGGAAGTGGCAACATAGAACAGGCAACACAGAACTGCTCATGCAGCACCTCTGGCAACAGTAACTTCTCCAACAAGAATGAGATTGGAAGTTACATGTCTGCAGGATTAATCTGTTATATTTACTGAAGACAGTACAAGTGCATGAGGTGCAACACCTCATTTTTATGAGGCGGTTGGGGACATTTGAATTCACCCAATCCATACAATAAATTAACTGTTTGGCAATAAAAGCATCATACAAAGACAGTGACCCAGGTTATTTTTTTAAACATTTTTTTTGTCCACATTGTAGTATTACTTACCAACTGATTTGTTACTATTATTCACTAGCTCTGCAGTAGAGCCTGCTTGAAATACACAAAAGATTTTGTACTCTGACATGAAATAAGATACCAGATATACTTTGAATAACGCATTGTTCCTGTCCTACAAGGAATTGCATCCCTATGGACATAGGACCAGACCTGACATCTGATAAATGAACCTTTTCAATCCAATTCTATCCAGTATCCTTAGCATGAGAACAACTGCCAGGGTTGGACAAGCGTTTCTATAAAATATTTTAAGTGGCAAATGGGTGCAATCATTTGGCTACTCTTATTTTTTCAGCCCTTGCTGACTGCTCTGACTGGAAATCCACATCCTGGTCTCTTCCTTACAGCAGGGGTGATTTGTCAGTGGCCTGTAAGGAAGCAATGTGATCACCTCCCTTGAAATCCAAAAGCATCAGGTCCACAGTGCCACAAACATTGTGGCACTTTCTCCAAAGCTGCTTTTAGTGGGAGTAAACACTAAAATGTAATCAGACCACGTGCTTTAGCTGACATAAATATGTGCCTGGCTGCCTATTTGGCACAGATTTATAAAATCTAAAAACAGATTTATTAAATCTGTTGGCACAGATTTATATTACAAAGTGACCCAAACGTCAGATTTATCTTACATCTGATCTAAGTCTCTGGTCCCATAAAATTGCAGCCCAAAAGTGTAAAGGACAATTCTGAATTAATCATAATGATAAAGCAACATTAAAATGGCAGCAAAAGGGATCAGTCTGAATGAATCACATTTACTGATCCAGTAGGATAGCTAAAACAAATCTTCTTCCAGGCCATCTGCTTCTCTCTTTCAGGGTATGGTAATTTACAGCTCTAGCTGTGTATCACATACAAACCTAAGAATGATTCTGGGAAGTCTTATGAATGTCTATGATAATTTTTGCTGTAACCATACACAAGGTCCGCAGAGCCTCTGAGTGGTCCTAACTGCGTGTCTTCCTTTGAGTGAAAGTTTACCTAACAGCATGGGATCTAACAGCCACCGCTAACTGACAACTAATTGTTCATTCCCAAAGCTTCTTTTAAAGAACAATACCTCATTCCAGGGCTCCACATGCCACTGCAAGCAAGGCTCCACGTTACAACTAGTGTTGAGTTGTGGCTTATATCCAAGTAACTGGCAATGAAAAGGCCTTAGAAGTCGCTTTTCACGAACATCAATGCAGTGAACATCTCGGGTCTTGAATCCACCGTTGCAGCTAGCAGAGCACTGTACACAAAATAGAAAGGGGCACATCTCCAAATGATGTTCTGCTGAGCAGCTGTCCCTTCCCCAGTCACAGAGGAAGAGGACAGCCTGAGCTTTGAGCATCCTGACTCACAGAGGGAATTTCCAGTTTACCATAACAACAATCTGTTGTTAGGTTTAAAAACTGTGGTTTTCATCATAGCAAATCAGAACACACCATACAAATATTTCCCTTTCTTCACTGGAACATCTTTAATAACACAAATGCATATTTAATTAGGAAATCTTGCCAGTTATTTCCAAAATGTCATAATGAAAGAGTCATAATGCAATA